TGACCAAATACTTATTTTCCACCCTGATTTACGAATAAATTCTTTACAAATCCTACCATGTGAATTTTCACATTCTGTCTCTCACAGTTGAAGTGTACCTCTGGTGCAAATTACTGACCTCTGTCATCATTTTAAGTGGGGGAACTTGCACAATCAGTGGCTGACTAAATACTTTTTTGCCCCACTGTATGCTATGAAGACTTGGGGTTTATCAATATTTCATTTCCATGTTTTAATATTTTTTTCTTGCCTCGTCAGTATCCTGTTGTATCTTGTTATCAAGTCTTTATTTTTGTTTTGTGATTCCCATTTTGTGTGTTTCTTTTTTATCTTGTGCATTTTCACTGGTTTGACTTTATTTGGTTTTGTCTTAATTAGTTTCAGCTGTGTCTTGTTACCTTGGTATTTCCACTGTTAGCTTGTGTACAGTGATGAACATATCCAGTTTGTCTTTTGGCTGAGCATCTGTTTACCTGCACTCACATAGACCTCACATTCGGATCCTATTCTGAAAAAAAGTGAAAATGTCAGTTAAAATTGTTTTTTTATTCTTTGTTCTCCAGTCACCAAGTCTTGGGATAAAATTTTAATAAACCAAAAAATTCACAGCATTGTGGCTGCTATCATATTCAACAACCAGTACCAACTTAGGCCAAATGTGTCTCTGATGTTTAAACATGTTTAAACATTTTAACTTCCATAAACATGGAGTCGCCTTTATTCATGTTGACCAGCACCAACTCCGTCAATCTGCTTCATGTCATAGACTGAATGTGGATGGTGTAGTGTGGGGTCAAGCTGAAAGTAAATGATTGTGACATTAGCTGGTGCTGTTTGCTTTAAGCTCAGTCTCTGCCATTTTTTCATGTGAAACGTATCTAGGACTTGACCAAATGTTGTAGTTTAAAGTATTGTTGCTTTATCTTAGGTCTACATATCATGAAGGTGCCATAAAGGGAGTCCTTTGTGGTCTGCTATATCAGGCAGTGCAGCTGGCAGTAAATCTCCATCTTTAACAATGACAGCACCTGATGCATTGTCGTCTCCTCTGCCTCATTTTTATTCCAAATTTTAAGTTTGCTTAGAGATTATTGCTCAACCACAAAATGTCTTAGATTGAAGACACAGGAGCTGTGAACCAACAGATATGCAAGTATGTAGTAAGCAGACAGTTTTTGGCTTTTTTAGATAATATTGACATTATTGTAACCATAATTATCCACACACGGAGTGGCTTATAGTTAGCAATATATCGTAATCAAAATTTGTGAAATTTAAAGATTAGGACATTTCTATATAATGACAATCGCTCGAATTATTAAAAAAAAAAAAAACAACCAAAACACTCCATCAGTGCTTTAACACACAAAGGTCAAGTTCTTTTCAAACATACATAATGAAAACCTGCAGTGAGTTAGAGTACTGCTGCAGCTGATCTGGCCTCCACAGTCACTCAGTCTTAATCCAAATGTCATGGTTTGGGACGAGTTGGATGGCAGAGTGAAGGAAAAGCAGCCAACAAGCAGGGGCGATTCCAGGTTTGTTTGCTTTTTAAACGGTGGCTTACAGGGGATCAAGAACCAGTCACGGCTGCCCTGTGGGAAATCAGAAAAATTCAATCAGAAATAAAGACAGCATTGAAAATTGGCTTAAGGAACACTGCACTCTCCTCTGTCCCGCTACAGGTAACATGGAAGCAGAGCATAACAGCGGAAGAGGCATTTAGATCCTGTACTGAAGAAAAGCAGCAATACTCAATGTTATTATTGCATCAGTCGTTGATTCATGAATGAGTAAGCTGCTTCTGTTTCAAAGCTGGAGCTTGTTTTATTACTTTTTGTACTAATCCCGGTTATCTCAATATATATTATATCCCAAAATGTTAGATTTGTATCAAATATTATTATTTTAAATTATTTGCAATACCAGTTATCGAACATGTCAAGCATGTCGAAGGAGTACAAAGTATAAGATTAGCATTAGTACTACTAATTTAAAATTGTGAATTGTCATATTAACCTTGGCCAGAGTTATATAAGAATTAGTAATAACTTTGTCGCAGGTTTTTCAACTTTTAGCTGAGTGTGATGTCATAGAAAGAATAATTCTTATGTGAACATCTCTGGTGTGCTTCATTGACCTGCGATTCAAATCTTCTGTTTACAGAGGAGCAGGCAATCAAGAGAAAGTTGTGGTGGATTATTTTGAAATATGACTCATTCCAAGCTAACCTGACTCCATGGTGATTAAATGTAACTGTACTACAGTGCGGCACTTGAGTAAATGCAGTAGTTACTTTCAAGCATTCTTGCTTTCCATGTTCTTATCCAGTAGCATTGGGCTGACAGGCTGACAATACTGCAGCCAAGTAGCTTTGGGAGGACCCCAGGGGGCAATTATACTTGAAGGGGGAGGTTCCACTGCTTTAGACACTCCTCTGCCAAGAGCTCAGCATGTGTTGGAGTCTCTTCAAGACTGTTGGAGAAACTCCAGGAGAGAATCTCATGGAGCTGGCTGAGAGACTGAGGAGTGTGCAGAGCTTTTCTAAACCAAATAAGAAACCTACAATTTAAGACCAATTTCTAGTTATTAACACGTTTGTCCTTTGAAGATATTTCTAT